CCCAGAGCGGCCCATCAACACCCTTCATTCAGGTTACAGAAGTCATCGGCAGCGATGCACAGGACTTGCTCAGTTTTTAGACCACAAAATCAACAATGTCACCAAAGAAGTGCGTTTTTGGTTGTGAGGGAAAAATAGCCTTGTCCAGCTTCCTAAATAACCCAGCGTTAATGGAACAGTGGATGCAGTTTGTTTCTCCGGGGCAGCAACGGAGTTGTGCAAGTGTGTCTGTTTATTCCTGGCATTTCGATGACGAGTGTTTTATAATCAAATAAATAAATATTAAATAAAATTAAAGTCAATAAAGTTTTTGTTCCTGTGTTATGTCAATCTCACAGTTTACAGACGATCACTACGCAACAGCTGCACATGCTCTTGACTGTAGATTTGCCCACGGCACGCCTCCAGGAGCTCAACTTTTCGGAGAGAAGCATAATGCTTTATCTGTCTTTTATAAATCTGATAAAACTAAAGACTTCGGAGATATGAAGGATACAGTACTACTCTTTAGGTTCTCAAGATTAACATGGGATTGGCAGAAACTGTGTGTTATGTTCCCTTTAAATGAATTAAAAATGAACTATTATTAAGTGACCCAACATTCGTAGATTCATAGATTAACGTCATGTAGTGGCAAACTCTTGGAATTTCAAAATCTTTGAAAACCAAGGTTCGAAACAGTATGATGTGATGAAGCCTCATTTGATGAAATCACGTTACTCATGGGTTTGATACAAGCTCTGAACCACTGATTCGAAACAAACGATTCGTAAATATTCCAAAGCTTCATGAAGCAGTGTTTTGAAAGTTCATAGATTGTCTGTAAATTATTATGCTTAAGGTTTTCAGCACATCTTTTCCTGATATCACCGCATAAGTGGAGTTCTTTGTAACCTGAAAACCGGACCACATTTATGACCCAAATGACAGAACACAGCCACTCTCAAACAGACAGTCCTCCAGATAGTTGACAGGCAGACAGAGTTGAATTGAAAAGGCTGATAAGAGCATTTAGACGATCATGGATTTCTCTTTCTCTCTCTGTTGGATCATCGATTCAGATGAAAGCCGTAATCCTTCAGAGTTATCCATTTTCACAAGTCGAGCCAGCTCTGCCTGCCTCCACGGCTCAGCATGCATCACAGACCTGTCACATGACTCAACCCTGAGCAAGTGTTCTGTTCATGCCGCTTGTTTTACTGTAGTGTATGGCCAGATCTTCTCCCTTTAGTTGAAGGTGTATTATGGGTTCAAAATAAGTTAGACTCTATTACAGTATTTGTGACATGTTGTTGATTTCTCCCTCTGTGGTAAAAACAAACAAAACTGTGCTTACCTTGGGTGTACTTTCAATGGACACCTATGGAGCACTGTAGAGTGTGCTTGTATTTTTGTTGTAGCAATTTTACTGATTGCTCGATACAAAAATATGTGTTATTCAGGCTATGAAGTTGTCTCAATTATCCTTTTGCCAGTGGGGCTGAACTGTAGGTGGACCAACTTATGGTTGGTTATGTGTTACTGCCATAATTCCTGTGGGTAGATCTGTTTCTATGTAAACAGTCCCATAGTGGAATTCTCCACTTGGCAGGAGTTACTAGAAGATCTAAAAATGCTAAAATAAACAGACTTACTTGATTCAGATGAACACAAACATAGATTTTTAGAATCAAAAACCCATCCCTGTAAACCATTGATTCCGGCCAACTGTCATACTCCGGTTCATGTGGTGTAAATATCAGCATGTTGTGATGCAATTGTGCTGTGAATCTCATGTGAGAAGTGACATGGAAGCACAGAGGACGTCACTTCTTGTGTGAGATGAATCATAACATGCTAATGTGTCTCTCAAAAAGTGAGCAAGATATACTATATGAAAGCCAGGTTTCCATTTTTGTGGGTCCCAGTGTACAGTATGTAGTGGTGTGAGGAATGATAGTGAAGATGAGGTGAAAAATGCAAATACAAATCTGTAAATCAGTGGTCTTTCCACTTGCATTATATGGACTCATAGAGATTATTTTTTCTAAAAAAAAATCTTAACCCATGAACCGATGGCTCAGAAATGCTTTTTCTCCTCCAGGTTTTAGAACTAATTCAATATTTCTATTGCGACATGCATTAGAATTGTGCCCTCAGATGAAATCCTTCTGAAGTTGATTCTATGTAACCCAGCATGTGGTTTCTCAAAAATACTGTTTTGTTTGTGTTGCCACAGTTGCACTGGGAGTCATGCTGACTAGTGGCTGCGCAACAGCCCGACACTGCCACACAGAGGAGCTGCCGGGAGTCAACATCCACTGCTGCGACTCTGATCTGTGCAACAGCGCCACCCGCTGGCGGACAACCACACTGCTGCCTATTTGCTCATTGGCGTTTAATCTGTTGTTTCAAAGGTTGATACTGTGGACGAAATAACTTTGAACTTGACTTCAAAATCACGGCAGCTACGCTTCCGATGCAAGACATACATACAGGAGGGAACTTGAAAATATAACTGTAAAAGATGTGGTCAGACCCTGGAGTATTATGTGTGGATAAACGAAACCTTCACGTATCACATCTGATCTTCAGTTTAAAGTTATCTTTGGACCATTTTTAAATCATTAAATCACCATCATACAGTGAATTTATTTTATTTTGTTTATTTATTTATTTTGTAAGCCTCATAGGGACTTTTTTATGGCCAATAAAATTCATTTGAACCCTTTGCTTCATTTTGAAGAATTTTGCTTTGCCATAAATAAGCAGTTGATGCCCTTTACATATGTATGAGTATGTGTGCTCAAGAATTAAATATATTGAGGCCCAAATGTAAAATGTTGTTGCATTAACAAACTAATTCCGAAGAAAAAAAATATGCTGACTTGGATATTTTCTTAGACATTTTTGTAATTTCCTTTAACCAACTGGCCTCAAACTGATGTGTATTAAGTCAATTCCACTCAAGTTCACACAGTGTCCTAGCAGAGAAACCACAGGTTTGTTTTAGCACATTAACTTTTGACAACCAAGAAAGTGTTGAAATACTTCTTGTCTTCATTTTGAATATTCATATAAGACATACTGCAAAATATTTTTGTTTAAAAATGTAAGCAAAATTCCATTATTGAACGAGTAGCCTACACTCAAATGTTGTCTTATATCGAATCATTCGATTTTTTTCTGATTCTTTTTTTTTTAACCTGCTGGGTCGGATTTCTCAGTTAATTCCAGACTTGCGTCATGTCCGTAAACACTGAAAAGAAGGTCTGGTTATTGAGTGAGTGGGTGCTCAGTTAGTTCGTCGCTAACACAAATCTTCGGCTAGCGTTAACAATGGTGGTTTTAAACAACAATCTTCCTCCTTAACCACGAAGGAATTACCAAATGTCAAAACAAATAAACTTCAAACTCCATAAAATCTGCAATCAAGAAGGGGAAAGCAACAGAGCCTGTGCCAAGCAGGATCCAAAACACTGGCAGATATGAAACTTGCTTTTATTTCCAAATTTAGGGCTTAGCCTATTAGAAGTTCTACCGTCAGAGGAGTTTGGAGATAGAATTGTTGCATCATTTTAAATAAATATATTATGATCCACATTCCACAATGTAATTTTTTATATTAACAAAAATTAAACATATTGACAATTAGAGTTTCACAAACATTAATTAAATTCACAAATTAATCAAATGAGATTTGCAAATAAAAAACATATTCACAAATATATTTTTTATGTCACAAACACAACTTTGCCTTGCATTCATTTGTGAATGGCTGTGTGCATTTGTGGATTTTGAAACATTTCTAGCATCAAGACCAAGCGTGCCGCACGAGTCCTGAAAAGTGAAACCAAAGTGTCTCGATCGCCCCCAGGTGACTGGCTGCAGTATAGGTCATAAACCCCGCCCTCTCCATGTAATATAATGAGACCTGAGACAAACTAAACAATCAAATTACTAGTTGCTATAGCGGGGTGTGGTGTGTCATCACTGTGAGCTTACGATTGGGTCTGCGGGAGTTTGGGCGGGACTTTGATACCATGGCTCCACCTCATGATCACTACTGCACAGACTCTGACTCCAAATGACATAATTTTCACAAGATGACAGCAGCCATACTGAGAATGTTTTGGCTTTACTTTTCTGGAAGGAGGTGGAGACGCGTCGTCCATCTTTTTTATAGTCTACCCAGATAGCATACACTTCCGGGCCTCATCTGGGCCAACTATGGCACATATGGCTCAGTTCTGGCAATGGGATAGGTCATATGGGCCAGATCTGGCCCACACACATCAAGCCGGTTTTAGTGTGAGTTGGTCAATCCACAACTGTGTGGACTCCACCCACCGTCTACTCAAGCCAAACAGATGATAGCCACACTTCGCTGACCAATCATAACTCGTTCTCGCTAGAACCAATCACATTTAGCTTTACATTCAGGGCGGTCTTGTCCGGAAATACCTTCATTCATCTGCATTTGCTCAAATAGGAAATATAAGGGCCATAAAAATTGGTACAGTAAAAGATGTTTAAAATTGGATTTCGTTAGACCATTAGACTGTGTATCAAGCCAAGCCACAGTATTATATTTTATGTGCCTTTGAAAATGAAAACGCTTTAAATCACGGGAAGCGCAGCTGCACATATGCAGTTTGTCGAGGAGAAGAGTATCTAGCGCAACATTTAACCTATGTGTTTGTTTCGACAAAAGACGAAAAGGACGTAGCTGCACACTACTGTAACACTGTAGGTCTATATGATGCGTCAAACAAACACGCTTGGTAGGGATGGGCGATACCACTTATTTTTGTTTTAAAATATATTTCATATAAAATGCCCAGAAGTTTCAAACATTATTTTTAATATCAGAAACAAGAAATTACTCACATAATACAATGAAACGAATAACTGTATAGGTCTAAACCTAAATTACACAAGATTCATGTTTATAAAATGCTTAATATGTCATTATAAAATGCATACATACATAAAGTATGACGTATCGTGTGTACTAAAAGCAAATTACCCCTTAAAAACCCTAAGGTGGTTTTCAAGTGGCAGTCTATGGAGCCATGGAATAAAATAATTTAAAAAATTTAAATTAGGTTTTATATTTCAAAATTATGACTTTATTCTCGCAATTCCGAGATTATATCTCACAATTCTAATAAGGAAAAACAACTCGTCATTCTCTCTTTTCCCCTCGGCTCTTCTGGCTTTTTTCCCTCAGATTTGACAAACTCACTATTTTTGAGTTAAGTCGAGTTATAAAGTCCGAATTAGGAGATATAAACTTGCATTTGCGAGAAAAAAAGTCAGAATTGTGAGATTAAGTAAATAAATGTTATGTAAAAATTGTAATAGTAAGGTTTAAATAATATTTCTAATAGTAAGGTTTAAATAATATTTCATGCTGTAACTGTAGGGCTAATACAATACGTCCCCTATGAACAGCATATGTGAATATTATGTAGACCTATTGTTTAAATCGAATTTATG